CAATGATTTCATTGGATTTATCAAAAAGGACAAGATCAGATTTTTTGGGCTGGATACGTTTGAGGCTGTAAACGGGCCTATTCCAAAGACTTTTGAAATTCATCATTTTCCATGACACTCTCTACATATCCTGGGTCGTGTCAAACTACAAGCATAGCGAAGACGGTAATAAAATGATCGAGCTACACAATCATTGACGGTTTCGAGTGGGAAGTGACTGGTTCTGAGCAGCAAATAGAAAGCCTTCCGTTTCACTTTTCAGGCCAGCTGACCTCACCCAAACAAAGGACTCTGCAAGGTTGCTGATCCTCTAAACACACTGCACATAAACCCGATACCGTCCAGCAGTACAGAACCATCAACAAAATCAACACCGAAATTGAGATAATGTCCCACATCCTTGCCTCGTTTGAAGAAACTGTGGAATGCCTTGTTTTCATCACGAGTTTTGACATGGGATCTATTGTCTGACATGGCTTTTCGTGTGAGGGTGTCAATACCCTGCATTTCTTGTTTCGTCCAATCAACAACACCAAAGAGTACGTAAGGACGGGTACAGCACAAGTATTTGTGGACTGACTGACCCTCCGTCTTTTACCTTGCTTCGTCTCTGATGAAGAATGTTGCCAAAATGACATTAGAAAAGAATGATGATTATTATTATTATTATTATTATTATTATTATTATTATTTAAACAGGGATATACGGTTCTGTCCTTATGAGATGTAACATTGACAGCCACCATATGTCGTCAGTACATTACCGTTATACAAAATTTATGAGGTCTGCTTCTGTTTTATTTTAAACTTGTGACATTCAGAGTAGGCCCTAACAAACACATTTGTGATACTTATTTCACCGCATCAGTGGTTTCAATCAGAGGTTGTCAATGTCATTTGAAACCTCAAATTGACCACTCAGTAAGGAATATTTTCTAAATTCAAAGCTTACACACATGTCATTTTCACCTTTGTAAGTTCCCCGGCGAAAAATTGGATAAGTTTTCTGAAAAACTACGTCATATTATATTCTGATTTTGTAGGAACAGTTGCCACTGAAGAGCTTCAATGTCCAAATGGCTCGTTCCTCCTTGCTCAGCTGGCTTATGGCACCAACATACGGAGACGATCATGCCACACCAATCATGTGACCAATGAAAACAATAAAGTAAGTAGCAAGGGACTGTGTAACATTGTTACAATATGATGTGTCCTGTTTTGCATATCAGTACTATTAAAGGATGTACCCCTCGGTTGATAGTTATTTAAATATTGGAGTTTTCTTTGTAATTGTTTTTTTTACTCACATATATTAAACCACTGATTACATATATTTGGAAATTCGGGAGACAGCTGGCAACAAACAAATGGAATAAGATAAAATATGTTGCCATGTGTCATAAGAGTAAATATCGCAAACCGAACGTGGATACTGCAGTCTCATTGGTTCTATCTCATTGTGGAATGGCATTGGCAATCTAGAAATATTCTGGATTTTTTCATTGACTAGTTCCATCCCTAATTTGAAAAGGAAATGACTCTTTATGCACAGATCTAAAGATTAAACAAATGAGGCGGTCTCAGTGGCTGCATAATTTTTAAGATAACCCTTTTGTATTTGATATTACATACGTTGATAAGGAACAAGTATTTGAGTGAGTGAGTGAGTGAGTTGGGTTTAACGCCGTTTTTAACAGTATTCCAGTCATATCACGGCGTGTCAGCTTAATGTGGGAGGAAAGCTCGAAGTGATGCAGGTCTCAGACGTTTACGACTTCGGTGAAACCCATGAGCACGGGTATGGTGCTGACAAACCTAGAAACATAATCGGGGCGAACCGGGATTCGAACCCACAATCATAGGTTTCTGGCGTGCCCAAGGGACGCAACTCTGCACAGCGAATCGCGGCGCCTTAGACGACTGGGCCATCCGTGCCCCCAACAAGTATTTGAAGATTTGCGCATGTTATTGAGTAACTTTCTCTGAGTGAAAGCAAACAATCCTTATCAGTACACGAGAGAAGGAATTTTACTTGATTTTACATAAGCTAATTTATTTTATATTACTGTCGTTATACAACATATTTCCAGCTGTTAATTGCCAATGTTAATGTTGTATCTGCAGAGAAAGGTGTCTGTAAGTGAAAGTCTGAAGAATGGGGACAAAGTGACCTTCACCTTAACAACAACATCCAGTTCTACATGGTGTGTATATCTGCCACTTCCAACTCACTAAGACTACAACACGACGATGCCGCATGCATGCTATATGTACATTGCGACCTTGTTTCGCACTCGTTTGAGATACCCATTGAAATGGAAACAATTGAAGATAGTGAGTGAGTGAGTGAGTGAGTATGGTTTTACGCCGCTTTTAGCAATATTCCAGCAATATCACGGCGGGGGACACCAGAAATTGAAGATAGTGAGAACGTGCTGTCTCACGGTAATTTTTCCTTAAAATAGAATGGAAGAATTGAGAATAAATGATGACATCAGAGCTGCTAGCGTTCCAAGATTTATTCAGGTGCAGTGTGTAATAAACATTTCAATTCAATTAATCACATAATCATATCTAATAATCATAAATTATATCATTACAAATAATTGTCATAACGTCGTGGTTTCTTATGACATAACTACTCAGAATATAAATCAATAAGCATTTCGCTTCAATCTTATAACATATCAAATAATCACCATTACATTATACACAAATAGATCAGGATGGAACTTTAAATAACGGCACAATAACAAAGACAACACATATGATTCACAATACCAATGTCAGCTGAAATAATGCAACATTAATGATAGACGTATTTGTAGATATATTACGGTAATGCAGTTTCGCGCATTACCGTAGTTCTTCTAATACAAGTGTTATTTAGCTACTTTATGCAGAGCTCGCATACGAGCATTGTGCATTCAACTATTAACATCAAGTTACAGGTATTTCATTTCCTATCAAGAACAAAGCTGACTGACTATTAACTAAGTTCAGCATTACTGCTAGCAATGAATCTACACATATTGACGACATGACATATTTTACTTTACGACGTTGTTGATAGTTGTACTAGATTTCTTATTTATCAAACGGTTATCAAGAGGTTGATCAGGAATAATTAATTTCATATTTTATTGATCGAAATTACTACAACCTACATAAGTGATTACAACCTTCATAAGTGACACCTATAGTGGCATAATGCGCATTGAAAACATTCCTAAACGTTATTGAAGATTCAAAATACATTAAACAATAACTTAATAATGAACCAACGCATGTGGTTGAAAATATACAATGTTCAAGAAATCTAAGACAATAATCATGAAATATATTCAACATATTTGAAAACAACAATTAAAACAATCTGAGACAATAATCATAATAAACATTCAACATGAATGAAAACAACCATTGAAACAACGCATGAAATGTCTTACCTTAAAATAGAATGGAAGAATTGAGAATAAATGATGACATCAGAGCTGCTAGCGTTCCAAGATTTATTCAGGTGCAGTGTGACTTAGTAGTCAACCTGCACCTACTTATATAGTGGAGGGACGCATAGCAAACTCTGATTGGTTTAGTTTTGAAAACATTATTTTAATTTATTGTCACAATTACTTCCTTTGTTATTTCATGTGTTGTTCCGGGTTGATACAATATTCTCATAGATTAGCTAACTAATGTCTACCTATAGTGGATAAGGTAATAAAAAAACAAAGCATGGAGTTTAGTTGAGCCGTCAGCATTTTAGACTGACCGCCGTCTTGTCACGGGGATTACTGTTATTGGTCAGCGTGTCAATCTGGAATTGACACGCAGCCGGTGACTGTAATGCGAACGGACATCTATTGTCTAAATTATGTCTCGCGGCATGCTTTTACAACCTAAGTGAGTTACTGCCATTTATGTGAGATGTCCGAGATTTGACTGTAAACATACGTGAGTTAATTTTATAAATTTTGAATATTATTTTTATATTTTGATATGAATTATTAAGCAAGTTTGCGCACTATAACACTAGTTTTAAACAAACCTGTGATATTCTAGTTATTGTACGGTCCTTTGACGACAGGCTTTTTTAGTTTCAAATGCAATTCATGTATAACATTTGAAAGTCACGAAATGGCTGAAATATTGCCGATGTGACTTAAAATATTAACTCACTCACATTATGGCGGCCAACGTGGGGCTGAGCATGTTCATGTTACATTTAAGCAAATAAAGGCTCTGTACCCTACCACGCGGCTCGGGGTTTGCCTTCTGTTGACGGAGAAGTATATAGCATCCCTCTTTGGTCATGTGGACAAGGCGTCCGTCCCGTCAAGGGAATCGGGACATTTTATGGCTCCCCTTCTTAATTCTTAATCAAGCGAGCTAATGTCGTGGTGCGTATCTGCCTAAACGACAATACTATTTTTCTTGTTCTTCCAGGAACACAGCCTTGTCATCTTGGGTTTATACAGCACAGGGCATCCTGCTATTGGTTCTCCAACATAAACGGTTCATTTGCTGTAGCGAGCGATAGTAGTTGTTCTTACCTGAAACGGGCGGTGGAGTAGCCATGTGGTTAAAGTGTTCACTCGTCACGCCGAAGACCCGGGTTCGATTCTCTACATGGGCGCAATGTGGGAAGCCCATTTCTGGTTTCCCACGCCGTGACATTGCTGGAATATTGCTAAAAGCGGCGTAAAACCACAATCACACACTCACTCACTCTTACCTCACACAAGTTCCATGCTGTAGAGATAACCCTGTCTAAAATCTGAAATGATAAAGCAATGTTTCAAGAATATAATTACTGAGCTGGAAATACTTCCAAAGCAGGGCCTAAAGAAGGTAAAGGCAAACGTTAGGACAAAAACACTAATCCTGTTTGAGAAAGTGTAACTTTAAGAGTGCTTGTAAAAGTCCATAAATTATATGTAAATACTTAAAACAACAACTATGCTCTAGGCACCTATGCTCTAAGCTATTACACACGGAACATGGCGTTGCTATCCAGTGTGTGGCAAGTATGACAGTTAAGTATCAAATACATGCGACCAATCACGCCTGTGGGAATTTATCATCAAGTCATTCGTAGCCACTGAGGATAAACAATGCCCTACTTGTCTTACTCTGTGTAATATACTAGCAATAATTGCCTGGATTATAGTTGCATCAAGTGGATTCAATACATTCGAAGCGTCAGTGTATTTATATAATATTTCAGGCTTACTGTCGCTACATGGAGAGCCACCTGGCAACCATCGCTAACAAAGATGAGGACGACTTTCTAAGAGGCCACGCTATCAGATAGGGAAAAGGTCATCTTTTTTAAACATTTAGAATTCACCCGCCATATTGAAACATTTAGGGAATTAAGGTCCATATGTCGAAATAAAATTTGGTTCAGGTGAATTCAGTAGGGGGTTCAGGGTGGGGTTAAACACACGTGTTTGCCATATGATAAATGTTCATATGAATTTTTGTTTTTAACTCGGACTACACTCAAAAGTTATAACAAAGTGCATTAAAGTGGCTGAAATCTTACATGGATGTATGTCACAAATTGTAGGAAAAGCTCCAAAATTGAAAGGTGCTTTTGTAAAGTCAAATTCTTACTAGAAGTCATATAAAGCTAAGATTTGAAATTTTGTATCATTTTAAATATTTGGTATCGTGTATTGCAGCACATATTGGCATACATGCGTACCTACTACTACAATAACGTGGTAACATTTTCAACTCCCATATGATTGAATAATGGTATAACTTCACATTAGTAATAATTTGGTATTCACAGCTGACAGTTACTGGCTTGGTGCGACAGATCTGAACCTGGAGGGGAGATGGCTGTGGGAGGGACGGCATCCTATGGTCTACAGCAACTGGTCTCCACATCAGCCTGATAATTACAAGGGGAGAGAACATTGTCTGGAAATGAGACGGTCCTATAGTAATTATTTATGGAATGATGTTCCATGTTATGGTTTCAATGGTAAGTCGCACTTCATTTGCGAAAAGGAAGTCTGATGTCAGTCAGTAACATCTATTGAAGTCAGTGGTAAAAAAACTTCGACTGAAACATGTTCAAATGTTGTTTTTAAAGGGAGCGAGTGAGTCGGTAGGGGTTAACGCCGCTTAATTTGTAAAAATATAAAGCAAATGTTATGTGATGTTTACTAAGAAAACAATACATGACAAACTGGACTTTTTCACACAAAAAACATCTTTGTTAAATTGGGAGATTTAGGCACAACGTAGGCCTCCGACTGGTCACCAAGGAAGCTCCTCTTCTTGTCAATCTGATGTTCTATGAATATGAATTGGAATTTATTCTCGGATTGGCAAAGTCAAAACAAGGCAATTGGCCAAGGAGTTTAACTAAAGCTTCAGGTATATGGATCGTCTGATATCGTAAAGTAACAGTCAAATAGCAAGTTCTCTTTACCTGATTTACCCACCTGAACTAGAAATGAAGGAGACCTGTGAGGGCGCCTCCTGTTTCATATTTAGATCTATGCATAAAGATTCAGTGTGACAAAACACTCTTAACAAGACACGAGGGATAACTTCACCTTCAAATAGGCACCTTTATGCGAGCAATATTTAAGCAGCCCTAGCGTTTGCTGTCTACATTTCACAACTTCTGAGATACAATCGAGCATGCTCTTTCTTCAGCCAGTTCAAAGAGCGTCACACGACTCTTGCTCAACTGTTGTTTGAGCAATGTGTCAACATCCAAGGCCTCAGTAAAGCATAGAAAAGAGGAGGACATTTCCAAGCATCAGTGACCAAAATGATGTCCGATGCAATTTTATTTATGACTTGTACTTGTAGATCATGTAGGGTCACTTTGAGGTGGGACGAATGTCCAACCTGATGCAGGTTTTCCACGTTTATAATTATTACCAACATTATTGTGTGGTTATGAGAGTCTACAATGAATCTTCTCCCTTTATTTGCACTAAAGTATTCCGATTATATCACGGCGTGTCAGGTTTATGTGGGAGGAAAGCCTGACGAGATGCAGGTCTTAGACGTTTACCAGCAAGGGTATGGTGCTGGCGAACCTAGAAACATAATTAGGTCGTACCAGGACTCGAACTCACAAAACAAAACCGCGTTGGTTGTAACAGTATTTTCAGAAGTGAATTTCGTTCATTGGAAGTATGCCAGTTTGCACTGTTATATATAAAGAAAGTCTACTTGTTCTTCTCTTACTGATAAAGTGTCACAAAACGGATTTTATTGTCTTTAAATGGGGGAACTATCGACTACCTTTGAAGTATGTAAATTGTATTGGGAAAGTGAAAATCAGATAAATTTGTCACAGGTTTCTTGGTAAGTTTATGACCCTTATCGTTTTCAGAAACCATTCATTCGCAACTTTTTTAGTTAACGAAGTCAATTTGGAAAATCGTCAGGCCAAGGCAATAGTATCAGATATTGGTAAGTGTTGAATCACACCCCTCAGTGAGAAGGCATTTCCATGTTTCCTCGAGCACAAGTTCCCGGCTTTAGGCACGATGGCATATCAACAGCATGGCACAACTAAATAGTGTGCAAGATGAGGGAAACCTCATACCACCACCACATCCAAATATCACAACATCCGAAACCTCAAACTTGGACACTCCCTGCAATGTCCAAAGCCCGTAAGTGTTTACTAACTGCATCATTCATCAGTGGCTTACCGAACATTGGTTAAGTAGCGAATCCTGTATCACTATTCTTTAAAGGAGACATGAGCGGATCCATGCGTATCAAAACGTCGGCAGAATTAGTGGAGAAAGCGTCTTGATGTGCGGAACCGTCATATACTCACCGACAAAAGAAACGCGAATACCATACATGTTGGTTAATATATGAGGAATATACTCATATTAGATATTAGATTGGGTCGATGCTCAAACGAACATACAGTTATGTTGTGTGAACAGACGATTATGAACGCATCATATGTGACGTCACAGATCCATGACTCGAGATGCACCAGTTGTCTTGTGCAGGATCAGCGTGTAAAGTTCCGAAATCACATGATTATCGTGATAAGCATGAAGACATTCCGTGGCAACACTTGCCTGATTGTTAGTTTTGCCATTTAGTGGTACACATTGGAAACATCTCTTCTTAACCTACACACTTCTATATTTCTAAAGTTCGCGTTTCTTTTAGCGGTGAGTATATCTTGTTAAAGCACCAAGCGCCATTTCGCAGCATGCCAAAGCTCGTTCCTACACAGTACGAGTCTCTACTGATTTCCCAAAAGCTCGGAACATAAACGTAACGCCTGCCCGTTAATGTCACCAAAGCTCAAACCTATTGAGCTTCTGTGAGGTGAGCTAAATTAACGTACACGTCAACGTAAGCCAGGGCGACACAATCTGCAGCAATTACGTCAAGTTCATCGGGGGAAGGGGCGGTCGGGTAGCCTAGTGGGTAAAGCGTTCGCTCGTCACGCTGAAGACCCGGGTTCGATTTCCGACATGGGCATAATGTGTGCAGCCCATTTCTGGTGGTATTGCTGGAATATTGCCAAAAGCGGCGTAAAACCATACTCACTCACTCATCGGGGGAAATGTACTTGTTGTCATTCTGGTCAGTGGTGGACACACTTAGTATAAGGCTGACCCGTGAAGATTCCGGGGTAGAATAGGTCTTCAGCAACCCATGCTTGCCGTAAAAGGTGACTATGCTTGTCGTAAAAGGCGACTAACGGGATCGGATGGTCAGGCTCGCTGACTTGGTTGATGCATGTCATCGATCCCAATTGCATGGATCGATGCGCATGATATTAATCACTGGATTGTCTGGTCCAGACTCCATTATTTACAGGCCGCTATCGTATAGCTGGAATATTGCTGAGTGCGGCGTTAAACAATAAACCAACCAACTTGTACAAGGTTTTACGACTGTTATGCTTGACGTAACTGTCACATGCAAAGACTCCGTTTCCTGTTTGAAGAACTGACTTTGTGATGTCCAAAGCACATCTACTATAGCTGCCCTGTCTTATATCGAACTACGTACATCTCAAAATGCATTCCAATGGTCCTGAGGACTATTTTATGTTAAGGACCTGACTATCCCTCAGGTTTTCAATGCGGATTTGCGTTCCAAATTTCTACGAGCAAATTATTACATAATATATAACAGTCAAAGTTCAATGTTCTGCAGTCAAACATTTCAAAGTTATGAAACTTTATTGCCGTGCCTCTGTCCCAACAACTACAGTAATGTGGCCAAAAACACTGAAACCCATTTAATATATGACAGCAAGTTCGTCTTACATCATCATCCAAAAGCTGTTTAGTTATTCAGTACTTTTGAATAATGAAAAACAAACCAGCACCCGGTTCATAACTGTAGTTTAATGTACAGCCTTTGAAAAACGAACCCGGTGCGGGCTTGTTTTTCCATATTCGGAAAACGAATAACGAAGCGCTGCTAACCTCAGGCCCCTGGAAATGTGTGGGATTATTCATGTTCCCTGATTAGACATATTCCCTTTAACATATACAAAGTGTCACGAAGAAATATTGAATGGTCCATGAGCAATATGACAGATGGATAGATATTGTAACATCTGTTGTGTCGACGTAGGCAAGTGGCTTTGTTCGAAATATGCCTCTGTTCACCAAGTAGGGAATGGGTACCCAGTAGGAGGAAATGGAGATCGCTTTTAGTCTTCTAGTTCCGCACAGGATGCTTGGGTTGTATATTCCCCAGGGAGCTGAGGATGGAAATTGAGTGCACAGTGATTAAGATAATAAGAGCTAGCATGGTCTAAGCGCATGTAATGTAATGTAGTGTAGTGTGGTGTTGTGTGGTGTAGTGTTGTGTTGTGTTTTGTTGTGCGGTGTTGTGTTGAGTGGTGGGTGCGGTGCGGTGCGGTGCGGTGCGGTGCGGTGCGGTGCGGTGCGGTGCGGTGTTGTGTTGAGTGGTGGGTGCGGTGCGGTGCGGTGCGGTGCGGTGCGGTGCGGTGCGGTGCGGTGCGGTGCGGTGCGGTGTAGTGTAATATGGAAAGGGATAATACATAACCAATGATATTTTCATGTTTGTTTAGATGTTGATGTAGGATGTCTTCGTACCTTGCCTTTTACTGAATGTAGATAGCCTTTAATGGAACGTCTCCCTCAACTGTGAGTTCCGTGACTGCAAGAGGCAATAACTGTGAAGGGACCTTGTGAGTTAACAGCTTGGTGCCATCTACAAATACCTGAAACGTCAAACAGAAGATAGCATTGTTAATAATTCAAAGTAAACAGCTTGATGCCATCTACAAACACCTGAAACGTCAAACAGTAGTTAGCATTGTTAATAATTCAAAGTAAACAGCTTGATGCCATCTATAAATACCTCAAACGTCAAACAGTAGTTAGCATTGTTAATAATTCAAAGTAAACAGCTTGATGCCATCTACAAACACCTGAAACGTCAAACAGTAGTTAGCATTGTTAATAATTCAAAGTAAACAGCTTGATGCCATCTACAAATACCTGAAACGTCAAACAGTAGTTAGCATAGTTAATAATTCAAAGTAAAGAGCTTGATGCCATCTACAAAAACCTGAAACGTCAAACAGTAGTTAGCATTGCTAATAATTAAAAGAATCCTGACACTGTTACATTAAAAAGCCAGAAATCCTGTGATTCGGCTGTCATCACACTATAAACAGCTTTTCAACGGAAGTCCAATTCACTTTCAACTATCAATAATCATGCACACATGACAATTATTTTATTATTTGCGACGACGTTTCAGAGCTACTTCTTGCACCTTCATCAGTTGAATACTGAGTAAGTACAAAGAGTTAATATGTATATATACCTGATGATATGTTTACAGAACACAGGGTGGGATAAATGTACAAAGATAATGTAATTACAGAACCAATGAGATTAATTACCAATATAACAAAATGATGGCGAAGCTAATAAAACATGAAAATGACGGCCCTGACATGTCCTGGGTGTGCGGCGATGAGTGCAAGCG